GATTGGAATGAAAACTCTTCTTGACAGGCTGAATTTCATAGACTTCTTTCATGTAAGAAGCATCTTATTTACACAGCATCCCTGTTTGCTCTTTGTTTCTCTTCTTTTGTCTTCATCTCTCACATCTTGAATAATACGCTTGTCTCTCTTGTCTCTTTTTACACTAATCCACACACATGCTTACTAGTTTAGTTTTTTTTTTAATGTTTTTTGAACTGTGAACAATAATTTAAAAGATTACTTTATCTGGCACAGAGAAAAAAACAAAAGGTCAAATATTTGTTTTGGTGGGACTGATCACTTTTGGGTGAGCTGCCCAAATAAATTCACTGGTAAACACTGATAATTGACTAAAAAACAATATTGAATATTAAAGTAATGTTCTGTACGTGAGCATCACATGAGCATTATAATTTAATATCTCACCATCTTATTGATCATCTTTGAATCCTCATTTCACTCAGTACTTTGGGCTATGATTAATGTTTTTTGTTAGTTTTAGTCACATAGTATGATTTATGTTTTTCTAGTTTTCCTTTTCGTGTATTGCATGTGTATTTGTTGTGAAATAGATGTAGAATTACTGGTAATGAATGTATCTTAACATTGCAAGATTACTATCAGTGCATTTTAATGGTTTATGCAAATGATCTGTTTTTGCATGAGTTAACGACCCGTACATCACTATGTCACTGCACACTGAACATGCACATGCCTCATTTTACAAAAATATCTCATCTTACAAAATTAACATACGTGAAAGTATGTCAGTGCACTAACAATTTGTTCTTTTTCATACCATACTGCATATCAAACTAACAAGTGCATCAAATATCAATGACAGATTTATTTATTTACATTTACAAAATAACTCTTTATGCCATTTCTTTAAAATGTAAAATTCAGTGGATGACTCATATTTTTGTCTAAACCATGACACAGAAAGTGCACTATGAGAGAAAATGTACTACACCTGCACAAGAATGAATTATGGGTGTAATCATTTCCTTGTGAATATTTTCATGGTCTTGTGGTTCCCTGCCAGGTTCACGCTGCTCAAGTGGCTCGACAGCACTACAGTTTGCAGCTGAAGAAGAAGGTGTGGTTAGCCTGGCACTCTCTGGTCCAGAAACACTGGAAGGTCAAGGTAGAACGGGCTTGCCGTGCAAGGGCTGAAGAGGTCTGCACCAACCTGTCTACAGAGTATGAAGCCAAGCTTGCAGAGGTAAATAAGCGGCCAAAGGAGTTGCATGTGAAACAGTGTGTGTATGGTGATGCTGCATCACTACATTCATTCTTGACTCTTCCTCATAGATGTGTTTTACCACAGTTCTCTGCAGTCAGTAACAGACATTGCACATTTACAGAATAACCAGCACTAGTTATCATGGTTTATTAAGTTTCTTACTTAGGTACATGTTCAAAGATCTCTTCAGAGAATTGTCATAAATACATACAATTTGAACATTTTACTAGGGAAACAATGTTATTGATGGTGTTACAGATGTAAATCAAGGGTGCAACACGAAGGCCTAAAATTGAAAGCAAGACACAACATCAGATGTTCTTGTCACTAATATATAAACTGATAAGTGACTGGCTCTTTCTGTACTCTGCTACCTGTCTCCACAGCACTGTGAGGCTATACAGAAGGCCCAGGCAGAGATTCAGAGACTACGACTAGAGCGAGAGCGCTATGAGGAATCTATGAAGAAAGCCTTCATGAGGGGCGTGTGTGCTCTCAACATGGAGGCTCTCAGCATGTTCCACAGCGCAGAGGGACGGCCAGAGCAACCTCCCGGTCATGAACAACATGGTCTGTAACAGAATGACCACACAAACCTATTTTTAGAGAATTTCTATCTTTTTAAACAACTAGCACATTAAAACTTGCACTGTTCAACACTCATCACAAGCCCCATAATTACATAAATGGTCCCCTGCTCTATACAGCAAACCATAAAGGCATTGTTAGCCTTGCGTCTGTGCTGTATTGATTCACCACCAGAAACACCATTTCTCCAATAGAGTGAAGCCGTGTGCTATTGACAATTGTGAAGATTTATGAATGAGTGGAGTGGATGACGGGGGTCTTTGTTCTTTTCTTGAAGTCATTCACTGGCTCATCTAATGGAGTGATGAGTCAGTGGATGTGCTGAGTGCTGGCTGAGGGGTACTTTGCTCAGGTTGTAACCTTGATTCGGCACTGAAAGATTGGCTGAGAAAGTTCAATAGCCATTTGCAAAAATGTATTAAATCATGTAATGCCTGTTATTTAGTAGTATGTCAGCATTGTGAAGGTTGGGGTGAGGGCTTTGGACAACACAGGATATTTGTGTATCTTTTTTGGTGTGAAGAACCCCCAAATTGATACACATTAGGTTGTAACTTTAGTCAATGAAATAATGAATAGTGAAATTAGAATATTCTCAATATTTGAAAGCCCCTCAATGGTCCCCTAGCCCCCAGGTTGAGTACCACTGGAGTAGACGAACATAATTTTCATAAATCTGCGACCAGACAGTGGTACGGTAGTCAACAAGAGGTGCAGTAGATCAACAGTGTTTAGGTTCACAGAGCATTTAAATTACAGTACAATAGTACTAATCATCCTATTGCTTGCCCTAAAAGGTCATAGCATTACACCATTATCACCACACAGTCCCATTGACGCTAGCCAGGATAGATTTATTGTTTCATTACTGTTAACACCAAATTCACACCCTGCATCCTGTCATCAGCGTTTTGCACCAAAAGTCAGGATTTGTCAGATGAGGCTGCATTTCTGTTCTGCTGTTCTTAGTCTGTTAGCTCTGGTGAGTACATGGCTGTTAAAGCTGGAACTCACTGTTTTTAGCTTGTACAAGTGAACTCCAGCACAATCTTCTGCTCATCCATCTGCTTTCAGGTTTAATGAGTTTAAAGAGAAATGCATTCCATTATTTTACTGTCAAACTGGTTACTCTTTTCTGTTGCTTTGAACTTTGCTTTGAAGTTGATTTTCTCTTCGATCGTATTTTTGCCAACCAAAGTAACAAATAAATAGATATGAAGTTATATTGTGCCTTTTTAAGTACACATACTTGATAGGAGGTAAGTTTTTGCCAAAGCAGGGGCGTGTAGTTGGCACCGGCTTTTCTGCTACATACTCTGTTTAAAAATTGTACTATTAACATATGTTAACAAAAAAAGAGAGGATGAAGGTATGTCAACTCAAATTTAATTATATATAACATTGTCAATGTTTAATCATTAGTATTGAGAGCTAAAAAGTAAAGATTGTTCAACCAAAAGGAAATATCACATGGTAGGCAGGACACAAGTCATCAAGATTTCCTAATCAGTTGATTAGAAAGACTCAGAACATTTGTTTAGCTTCAAAATTAGTGATTTTCTGTAACTATGACAAACTTGTATCAAGAATATATTGTCCCAGTCTGACTCAATTATTATTTTTTTCTTTTTGAAGATATTCTGCCTCCTCAGGATGAGCCTGGCTCTACTACGTTGGCTCAACTTCAGCCATATCCCATCTCTTCCACACGGTTCAGCCCAGTCCACTTTGACCGTCCGGAGCCTTCCCACAGCGAAGTAGAGGAGATGGTGAGACACTGACTAATTCTAATGAAAGATTTCTTTCACAGAGAAAGTGTCTAAATTAGAACTTTGAATATATCTTTGTATCTGCACACTTTTCTTTTTCTTCAATTTAGAATTATTATGTTCTTACCTTATACCACCACAAATAACATAGTGTTAAATTTGCTTTTGTTATTCCTTCTGTCTGTTTTTATTTGCTGCACTATCACTTCCTTTAAATCCCACTTCCTGATTCTCTTGTCCTCAGGGGGGCTCTGGTGCCCCCATGTCCAGGGGAGAGGTTCTCCCTCCTACTACAGTGGTGCAAAGCTCGCTCCCACTTGGGGGCACTGCAAGTTCCCAAAAACAGGTTAGCATTAGCATTATATCATCAAATTGTTGACCAACACCACAACAACCAACATTTTAAATAAAGTCTCTACAACAGTAATCACATGATGCTGTATTTTGTGTTGTTTCAGGTCAGTGGCCGTGTCGTCACAGCAAGTCAACAAAAACCCTCAAAGACTGTAACGGCTCGCATCACTGCACGTACTGATGTTAGTAAGGCTGCACGCAGCAACCTCCAGGTGATGGGTGTGGCTCCGCCCATGAGCTCCGTGATAATCGAACGCCATCACCCTGTTACTCAGGTATGGGACAGTGTGCACCACTACTGTTGAGGTATTACTATTTATGTGTAATTATGTGTATATATTTATTTTAGTCATGTGAACCTGAAATATAACATTATCTTTTGTTTCATTCTTTCAGGTCACTGTTGGTCAGGCCACAGCTGCTAAGTTTCCTCGCCCCGCCCAACAGGGCCAGAGCTCCACCGGAGGCAGAAGCTCCTCCAGAACACACTCCAACACATGCCATGTGCACTCCATCAAAGTAGTTGACTGACCACTCAGACATATCTCACAGAAAGTGTTGCTCACCTAGTAATACCTAGTTCACCCGTCCTATGCAACAATCCTAGAAATAGTTACCTTGGCATTAGTTTCAAGTACATTTTATTTGGATATCTTGGAATGAATTAGTGCATTTTAAGCAAACATTTGATTAACATTTTTCAACTCCCTTTCATGAATGTGAAATTTCCAATTTCCAGAGCAATAGGATTTTCTCAGGAAAGTACTACAAAGACATAGGTGTTTAGAGCAGCAAATGTAGATGTTTTTAATCATTACCAGCTGGACAGAGTTTAGAATTGCAAAATGGACATTTATTTTTTACTTTAAATTATGCACAGGTGAAAATTTACTGTAATGTGTAAAATCCCATAATTTAAATATCTGTGTTTTTGAGGTTTTTAATTGAGACTGACCGTCCAACACCACAAGTTTACTTTACTAAACCAAAGCCATATGTTAGTGATTTAACGCACTACTTTATTTTTAAAATAAATTATTTTACGGCTAACGTCCTGTACAGATTAGTATTTTAAAATGATGTAAACATGAAGTTCATTTTGTCAGTCCATACATTGCAGTGTTCATTCTCATGAAATGCAGCAGCTCTTACTGCTGGCACTCTCTGCTCCCTGCCGAATCTTATCTGTAAGACAAATGAACATTTTCTGTAATAAAAGTTTGGCACATATCCTAGTGGGCTCAGCTACATGGTTTAAACATGTAGTATCAGTATATTCGTTTGAAAAAATTGGTTAACCGAATGTACCTGCAGCTTTCCTGTTCCCTATGAGGATGAGGCCCTCAAAGAGTTCTTTAGTAGGGCTTTTCTGAGCCAACTCTTCCCCGTGGAGCCAGATCAGCAGCATCCTGTTCCCATGCTCTTTATAGCTGTGCTGACCTGTGGACAAACACACATAGCACTGTGCAGTTAGGGAAACAATTCAACTAGTAAAAATAACCTAAAGATTGCCTATGTGCATTAAAAGATAATAGAAAAATAGCCAGTCTGTTTAAATAATAAAGCTATCCAAGAATATTATTTTCATGTCCACATTTTCCTCATTAACTGAGGGATTTGAATCTTTAACACAAAAACAATATGTTATAATAATTTTGGGTTTCCAAATGCACAGTTAAGTCTGTCCGTCCAGTGTGAATGGTGGCACCTGTCCACTGCTCCTCGATGGCCGACACTTGCTCCTTGGTGAAGCCCCAGTGTTCTGCCAGTCTTTTCCACTCTCCTGGCTTCAGGAGCTCGTACGCCAGATGCCAGGCCATCGAACGGAGCTGCTTGGTCTCATAGCGGTGGTCGAGTTTAAACGTTAGTGGAAACTCGCTGTGAACACTCTCATTAAGCTCAGGGTTGTCCTGAAAGGGCAATTAAATCACGTCAGCAGATTGATAAAGGCCAAAACCCTGAGATAGCACAGTGACATGGAAAGAGATTATTGGAAACACACTTACACACATGATTAGCAATATGAATGTCGGAGTTACAAAATCAAAAAGGGAAGGGAATCAGGCATACCCTTAATTAAATTGATAATTTGATTTGATTGATTGGTCAAATGTTTCTGGGTTGTGAGTCATATTTTACCGTGGATGCTTTAATAGTATTAGAGGGTATTCAACTAATCTAGATTGTGACATTAGGAAATGAATCATTTGTGATGAATGTAATTATTGATTTCAAAGCCTCAAGAGTGGATTAGGGCACACATGAAAACAGTAAAAGTATCATTTCACTATCTCTCACCGTCCTCCAGGCGTAGTATCTTTCTGCTTTGATGATCATGTCCACAATAATCACCTCGTCTGCTCTGGCTGCCACACCCAGAGCCGTTTTACCTTGCTACAAATCCAACATGTACAGCAAAATACACAAACTTTAATAAGAACTGTAAGGCATCAAATGTAGAATTAGATTTTTCTTAAAGTTTCAATTTACCATGTATGAATATAGCTTTATGCCCTTTAAATGGCCTGAGAATCAGAATTTTGCCAAGAGCATAATTTAACTTATATTACAACTACACTACTTTAGCTTAAGAAATTGTATTTGATGAAATTTTTACCCTGTCCCGGAGTGTCAGATCCAGCCCAGATTTAAGAACCATTTCCACAACTTCTGTTCTGGCCAGCTCTGCAGCAAGATGCATGGCAGTCTGGGACCTCTAACAGTTCATGTCATAGGTCAATACAACGCAGCAAACATTTTCTCTATTTGTGTCTTATATATACTTTGGCTAACATCTTATTTTATTGTTACTAGAGAGATAATACCTTATCAGTGACATTAATGTTGCAACCAGCCGTTAATAGAGAATGGATGACAGCGATGTGACTGTTCCTCACTGCCAGGTGGAGAGGAGCGTCTACATCCTGAGAGCAAAAATATCCTGTTAGACAACATGAGCCCAAGACATGAACTTAGCTTTTAGGGAATATATGTAAAATGACAACGATATGCATCCAGGCAGATTATGTGTGTGTTACCCAAAAACTACTGAAAGAGTGTACTGCTGCCACCTAGCTTGTGTTTTCTTACCTGATTCTTGAAGTCTGGATTGGCTTTGTACTCTAAGAGAAGTTGGACAAGAGACGTATCTCCTTTTTCTGAAACTGAATGGAGCGCACTGCATTTGGACTATAAGAGAGAAAAGAGGGAGGTTTAGCTGTTAGCCTACTGGCAGTACAAAAAAACATTTACCACATCAACTTTGATGCATGAAGGATTAATAACAGAAATATTTCACAGTAACACACAACAACAGGGTATCAGGTCAGTGATTTCAGTGTTATAGTTATTATATGGTTGTACGTTTGTGAGGATGTTGGGGTCACAGCCAGCCTCCAGCAGGGCCAGGACACATCCTTCCTGACCATTGTCTGCAGCCTGGTATAGAGCTGTCTCACCATCCTGCAACACAGAAGACTCATCAAAAAATATATAGTAGTGGTGCTAGATAGCCATAACAGAAGCAGAAAATTCTTCTCAGGTAACAATGTTAAATAACCAACTAGAATCAGAAATTAACCAACCTTCCTAAAGGAACTTCAAAAGGCATATGTAACTTAATTGATTGATTGATATTGCTTTATACTTCTGGTTAGTCTTTATTTAGTTTTTTGTCATTTAGTAACAAGTAATGACTGTCATCATAATTTCAATTATCATTAGGCTTCAGTTCCAGTTAGAAGAATCTTAGACCAGATGCAACGAGTCAGTATTATCAAGTATAATTTATCAGAGCTGATATTCAGGCCAGAACACAATTAGCCTCGTTATATAATAGTAACCAATACATGTTTGATACATCTTAATTAATCCAAAGTGGAGCCACCATCCAGCAGTGGATTAACCACTGAGCACACACTGTCACAAACCAAACCGTGATAGAGAGGATGTTTACACTGATTGTCTACCATATTGACTGCATCCCGAATATCAAAGCTCTGCAGCAGCAGTTGGACGGCATTCAAGTGGTCGTTCCTGGCAGCTAAGTGCAGGGGCGTGTCCCCTCTCTGGCAGAAGGGAAGGAGGGAAACAGCTCACATCAAAGAGGGTTTGACTTTGAGCTTTCTTGCAGGTGTGACACACAAATGTGCACTCGGGCACATGAGCAAAAATATCAATTTATTGTAAATAGATGCACACAAACCAAAAACAAGTCCGCACATACCTTGTTGGGCTTCATTGTGGCCATATTGTACGGGCAAATCAGCATATCTAACATTTCAACACACCCATGCTCTGCTGCCAATGCAAATGGCCGGTGTCCTGACTGAAATAGAAGCATCGAGGTACAAACAATCACTTTTATTGCATGTACTTTGTTAGTACAGAGAGTGAATTATACAGTTGATTTACAAAAAACCAGTAGATACCTGGTCATGTTTGTCTAGTTCTTTCATCTGCAGGTCATCGATAATATACTGTACAATATCAGTGTTGTTGTTAATTGCAGCACAGTGCATGATGTTCAGTCCTTCCTGAAATGGAAAAAAATCAAGTTATAATTTTAAAAAACATTTTGTTTAATCAAGCAGTGTGAAGATTAAGTATCCGCTATTTTCAGAGAAATTGAATTTGTTGAATGGTTGAATTAAGGAAACAATGGAAGAAGAACAAAAGCGTCTTTGTAACGAGACAAGCACACAAATGTTAGGTTCGAAATCTAGGATGATGAAAATGAATCATGTCTCAGGAGAAGGCATGTGTTGTTGTTTTTTTGGAAAGGTTGCACAAAATAAAAAGACAAATGGCCCAATTTCTGAGTGTTTTTCTCTGTCACTTACTGAGTAACAGCAGAACAAAACTCTTCCCGCTTCTTTACCTCGTTCTCAATCTTCTGCTCAGCCCCAGCCCGTACTAATAATTTCAGGATCTCCAAACTGCCAAACCAGGCAGCCAAATGAATGGGTGCCACACCGTACTGTCAGATACAGATCACAAGATGGTAAGTTGTGATTACTTAAAAATATTACATAAGTTTCTCTCCGTGGCTTAAGTTTTCACATGCAGGCATTTCAATTCCTCTCACCTTGTCCTTTTGGTCCACTTTGACCCTGCGCTGTAGAAGAAACTGTACAGCTTCTGTGTTTTTGCCCGCCACTGCATAGTGAAGGGCAGTCCTGTGATGCTGAGGCAAACAACTTGATCAGTATATTATTTATTTAATAGGTTAATCCAACAAATTACCAGCCATTAAGTCTGTTTGTGTGATATTATACGATGCAGTACACTGTACTGAGACGTAGACAGAGGATTTCTCTATCTAGACCCACCACATTCTTTGCATTGGCGTTCAGCCCTTTTCCCAGAGTCTTCATGGTCTCCACATCATTTTTCTTAGCTGCTTCTATAAATTGCTTCTCTGCGTCAAGCACTGCACAACACAGCAGACAGGAAGTGTTACATGTGGCTATTTACATATAATATTTGATATGCATAATAGCATGTATGTAGGCTTAATACACAATCATATGATGTGATGGGTGAAACCCTCAACAGGAGCATACTGTAAGGTAAACTGAGCCAGTGCCTTGTGCAAATATAGCGTGTTTCTTTGGAAGAAACATCAAGATAAACATTAAGAAATGTCTTTCTATGGACATGCAGTCAGTACACCTCAACGAATAGCTAATAATTAACTCCAGCTCTAACAGTATAAACTCAACAGAAACTTGCTTTAAAGTTTTGCTCTATACTGTTCTATTATGTTTATGTTCTGTAAAGCCAAAGTCTATTCATTTATCTACCACATTTTCTTATTTCCTTGTCCTTGCGTACTCACACATCTCTTTGTTGTCAAAACTGTTGTCTGTATCTTTGTCCGAGTTCTTGTTCAGTATGAAGTCGGTAAACCCCCTCACAGTCTCCTTTCTCATCCACTTTCGAGGGTCCAAATCCTCCTTCTTAGGACGATGCTTCTTTACCATCTCCCTGATAGCCGAAGCTTTTTTCTCCATGGGAAAGCTCTTTAAATTACCTGTTGTTTATCCAAGGCGGTTTAGTGAAATTAAATAGTCTAATATATTGACTGAAAGCACCTGAGGAAAACAGATCACACAGAACCCTGTTGTTCACTTCAAATAGTGGACAGCATGCCTTGAACTGAAGTGTACTCCTTTTTTCTTACTGCTTGAGGGCTGGTCTGTGTTTACTTTACCAGCTCACACCCTTAAGAGACTGCTGATAGCAACAGAGAATATATGTCACCCTTCACCTGTGTGACTGTACTTGACTGCTATGTTTATATCATGCCTTGAGTAACATGAATATACTATACCAACTGTGTTTTTAACTTTAATTTCTGTGAACACAGTGCACTGTTTGCAAAGGATTATCATAATGCTCTAATTGTAGTTTAACTTGTTTGTGCAGGAATGTTTAACTAGTTACACATACTCTTATTTTCAGAAATGTTTACAGAACCAAATGCAATTTGCTCCTGGCCACTGTGCAGTTTCATCTGGAGCTTGTGTTACTCTCTGATCTGATTCAGGACTATACCACCAACACTTGTGAATGAACTTTAAACCAGTCTAATTCTGTGTTTCTTCAGTGAGCCAACCCCTTTTTGGTCAAAAGTCTGATTAACAGAGAACAGATGGTGATTAATTGTAAAAAAAAAAAAAAAAATTACATCACACAAAGTGAAATGTCAGTGAAAACGTAATTTATTTTAACTAAAATCTACACAATAGAATGATTCCCTTTTTTTATTATTAAACATACACAGCATTATTATTGAAGAACTCAATAAATACAACTGGAAATATCTGAATAACTTAATGAAGATAAATTAAAAAAATAAGACTAACCTTAGCATGTAATAAATACCATCATGATCCATTTAGATATACATAAAAGCCGTCCAATAAAATAAAAACATTAGTCTTCTCTTCAGAAAATAGGCAATGAAATTGGAATTGACAGACAACAGGGTCATAAATATTGTATGATATATATTAATTTGCCAGAATTTAATTTCGATTGTCTGGCTTATAAAAACAAATATATATTATCAGTGCACATACTTAGACTCTATCAGTGATCTTCATTACAACATTTCTTTAGGTGAAGAAAATAAATGGCTTTGTGTGCAATGTCTGTGAGTTTGAACCATAGAGGGAGGAGAGGAGAGATGTTTTTCATTTTCAGTAGAAAACTCTCAGTTCCTCCAGATCGGGATTGATATTCTGCGTGCATAACTGTCACCTGAAGAACTTGTCAATGGTGTTGCGAGGACCGAGGCCTTTAGCCTTTTTAGAAGGAGGAGAGGAAGGCGAGTCCCGTCTGAAAGCCATGAAATCAACACAAACAAAACACAAACAATTTAATTTCAATTCAAATTCAAATGTCCCTTGTTGACATTCGTAAATTGTAAATTCATACGCTATATATGTCAACCCAACATTTTGTGCTGCAGCAATCTGTGTTCAAGCTGTCTCACCTTTTGGTTTTGCCTTTGCTTACTTGCGGTGGCAGGAAACGCCCTCCGTCTGCCAACAGAAACAGACACTCGTGAACATGGACGAGAAAAAAACATTCCATCGTTATCTCTTCTCTGACAAAAAATGACATCCACTGAGGAGGAACACAATTGCAGCACCTCTTCAGGGATATAAAGAGTGCAATTTCCGAGACAGGCTTGTTTAAGAGAAAACCAGGGTGCAGTTCATTGTAGGAAATGAATAGGTGAGAAAGTGATTTAGCCATTTCCAAGACCAGGGCAAAGGAAGCCCCATGGGCTGAAATGAGATGTCTTTTCTCTGTAGGAATCGATATAAACTTCTCACACAATGTCACTGTCAGTAAATAACAAGGTCATAGGCCATCGACATCCTCCCAAATAGACATTCTTTCTGTTAACTCCAAAGATGTCATATAGCCACAGTTTATAGACATTATTAACAGGATTGTATCTGCTATCAGCAGAAATAGATACATTCCCCGACTTTAGAGCCTTGTAGGAAACACTGACAGACAAAGTACACAAGGAACAAAATGAATAATTAAAGCAGCTATTATCAATATTTTATAATAACTTGGATATCAAATAACAAAGTAAAAACAAATGTGACAATGTGAAAGAGGTCGCTCATAGTGATGAATCTACAGAGCATTATCACCCAAATGAGTTTCACGCATTGTTTAGTAGGTGTTAGAATGCATCTTTTAATGTTTTGGTTCACTCTCCACAGCTTCATTTTTGACTTGCCAAGGCAGGCAGCTGTTTTCAGCCAAAAAACTTCTAAAAACCCACTGTACACTACCTGCTCAGCACCTAACAGCAGACACACAGTGCGGACTCTAGCTGGTGAACACAGTGGAGCAATTAGCAGCTAAAGAGCCAGATATTTAGATCAGGAATTGGTAGAGACCAAAAACATATAAAGGGAGAGGGAATATTGGACTTTCATTCATTATGTGGCTCTGTGTAAATAAGCAACTCATGAACCTCATTTAATACACTCACCTATGGCCTTGCTATTTGTAACAGAAGGTAGATTTATGGAAGATGATGTCTGTCCCCCCAGTTCATGTAGGACCTCCTGGTTCAGGCAGAGGTCAACGTGGTGGTTGAAGATAATGAGGTCATCGCTGTCCTGGGTCAGCTGACATATTGGGCAGATGAGGACGGACCCTTTATCATTACATGACTGAGGCTGTTGCGAGGTCACGGTTTGGTTGTGTCCATTGATCAAATGATCGTTTTTCAAGCTGCGCTGATCTTCCTGAGTTCTGTTCGACGTTGAATCTTCTTCAACCTCACACTGCACTGCTCTTAATTCCACCACTTCACATTCTTTATGGTCATTCTCTAGGTCCAAATCTGACTCTGTGTCAGAAACGGTGTATTGGTTTGGCTTACTAGAGGCATCACTGAGACACTGGTCTATATGTCTGTTGAAGACATTTAAATTGGTCGTCTCCACCTGCCTGAAACACACCGGACAGGTGAGGCGCTCTGACACTGCGCTGCCACAGCCTGACGTGGATGCTTTGGCCTCTACATGGGAAACAAAGTCATTTTCTGAGCGATCTGAGGCTGTACAGTTGTCATGAGCTTTTGTTGATGACACTACTCCATTTTGAGCATAAGTGCCTGTGGAAGTAATCTCAGAAGCATTCTCCCCATGTCCTTCCTCTTCTGTGTTTGCATTCACCGCCTGGAGTTGCAGTCTTTTGGCATGAGCCCTTTGGAAGAAAGACTGTTGGGGTTCCTCGCCAGTCTGGCTCCTCTCTAACCCCCTCTGTTTACTCCACCTGGGAACCTCCTCTTGTCTCTGACACTTCTCCACTGGGGGAAAACAGGTAATCTTTTGATGGGTTCCTTGGGAGCCACCAGAATCCGTCTTGCCGGTCTGAAGAAACCCAATGATGCTCTTCTGTAGGGGCTTTTTATCATCCGAAGTGACAAAGGCAGAGATTCTAACACCTACGAGCAAAAAACTAATTATCTGGAGAAGACTTCAAAATGAATGACAACTGTATTATTATTTCCACATGCAGCGTGTCACAGATCATTTAGATTTATTTCAAGTTAGTTGTATTAATTGGTATGTCAGTTACATTGCTATATCTAATTACCCATGAGCCTCAGTCTGAGTGGCTGGGGGCTTTCATTGTCTCTTTCTGTTTTCAGTAAGTCCTTAGCAACAGCAAAGATCTCATCCACTGTAGCAACAGCATACGGCAGCGTCAGCGCTCTGGTTTTCACCTCAAAGTTCACGTTCTTGAGCTTCAGTGTAACTGTTTTACCCTTCGGGAAGATAAAACACAAAATAGAGATTTGAATTCATATAAGGAAACACATCATTTATGTCTGCCCTTAATTATAAGCATAATCAATGATTCTGAATGGAAGGGCTACAAATAGAAAAGAGGTGGAAATCTAGGTAATCTGTCGTATCACTGATTGATTTGTCAGAATGCTTTTTGTGAAAAACGCGCCACAAAGCGCTTTCATAGTAATGTGATCATCTCCCAGGGAGACATTTCCAAGGCTGATAGTAGCCCCTGCTGTCTCCTTAATGGCCCTCCATTTCCTCCAGCTATCAAGGCCACATCGGGACCCAGGCAGGGGGGTGATGGTCGTGCCAAGCCATCCCGTCCTTTCTCTATCGATTCGTAAAGGAATGAACAGGTTGAGGTAATTGTATGAGATTCGGTTTGGAGTCAGGGTGATTCTAAAAAGAATAAGATGGTATTTTTGTGGTGTATTCCATTTCTGTTCAAACATCCCCAGTGATTGCTTTATTTCGCTTCTCTTTGCTCAGTCTAAGACAATCACTTGTGTTTTAAGGCAAGATTCATCCAAGCAATGTCAGAGCAGTAATAGAATGGAAACTATGAATATACAATATAACCTCATGTATGGTTGATGTAACCAGGACAAATGTGTGTTTAAGACAATGTGTTCGTCCATAAGATAAGCACAGAGGTATGTTCAACAAATAAACCCTCATTCACTACCTTCAGAGATTCTTTCTTCATGTCCTGTGCTAAGTCTTCACAGAGCTCCCTGCATAAAGACAACTGCTCCTCAGCTTCACTCAGTTCTTTAAATGTCCTGTAAGGATTAAGTGCCAGAAAAGAGTGGGACAGAGAGGAAATTAAAGAGAGTTAGGAGGATGGACACCAAAGAAATCAATTCAACTACCGGTATGTCAGTGCCTATTTATGTGTCGTTAAAACCATACCTTTCTGTGCTCATGCTTTTTCTTTCTTCATGCCTGTATAAAAAGCAAACACAGTGATAATTATCTCCTCTCTCTGAACTGGACTGTTTCAGTTGAGTTTCATTAAACAGACAGTGAGGTACCTAGGTATATATGTAGAGCCCAGACCCAGGGAAACCTGCAGGAAATGATGCCAGGCTGTCTCTGAAAACAACAACGACAGCAGCGCCATCTGCTGACCAAGATGAGAACAGCTACTGATGCCCAGAGCGTTTAGCATTTTGTCACTCACTTTCCCTATGCCAGAAACCTGAAAGGATACACAAACACATTTTTACTGTCTTTAAATATTGATATAGATTTTCTTTCAACCACCTTCCCCTGTCTGCAGCACATCATTAGTCACTTTACACCATATCTGTCAGCCTTTAATAATACAAAAACTCAGGATTACATTCTAACATCTTTCCATAATCATACACCACAAGGCTCTGTTTATGTTTTAGTTTGAGCAATGTGTACTGTACTTTGCGAACTGGGAGATTCTGGACAAAGTCCATCACCGCCTCTCTAGTGGAAGGGAGTCTGTATTGGCCGTTGGGCTTGTTCTTGTCACTGCACACCTTGGCAAGCATCGTGTTTGGAGCAATTCCTAGAAGAGTGAATAGCATTATTGAATAGTGTGTTTGTAAATGAACGGCTGGTAAAACATATTGTGGATCATAATTCTAAACAAAATGTGCAGGAAAGACTGCAGACTTTTATTATAATGAATGAATTACACTTAAAGTGGTGTTGCCTGTCACCTCATATTTTTTACATTTTGTTTTTGTTCAGAAAGTAGGGAGGAGAAAAAAAATCTCTGCTAGGATGCAGTCAGACCTGGTTCATGAGCAAGAGGAATCAACTTAGTGGAGTATATGCTATAATTCTCCTGTGAAACTCAAATTAAGAAGTAAAATATTTGACAATAGCAAGACATAAATCAGACAAAAAAGGATAGTGTTTTTTTAATAATGTGAGTGTTTTTTCCCTCACCTGCACTGGCAGTCAGCATGGTCTTCTGCTCAATGCGGAAGCGCATCTCTCTCACAGCCTCCTCAACAGACTTCCCAAATACCTCAAACACACCACCAGCGGCACTGACACCTTCAGAGCCCGGCAAGCAGGGAGAGGAGCTTGGGCTGTCCTCAAACAGGACCGGAGAGAGGTCTTTCATCTCTGGCTCCTGGGGAAGCTCAATCTGCTCTTCACCTTTACAGAAAAGAAATGATTTCACACAATAATCAGACGGATTCCTAGTGTATGGAACAGAAATGTTTCCTGTCATGTTGTCATGACAGTCTATAGTAAAAGAGTCCAAAGTTGCACAGAATAACACAGAGTAATCATTCTATATTACGCTATAATTAAGTCCTGCCTGTAGAGGTGCTGCTGGCACGGAAGCGATGTGTACGTGAGGAATCTGGCCAGCTCTGCCTCTGTTGCAGGTGGTCTGTAAAATCCAGATAGGCTTCATCCAGGCTCATTGGCTGGAAGTGAGGGTCATAGTCTGCAAAAATCTCCCGGATCTAACAGAAAAATACAAATTCATGAGCAACTGTTGAAGCAAAACTTTGCATTGCATTTGTTTTAATGTGAATTTATTTCTTTGTGTGTTTTGCCATCACACTTACCTCATTGCTCACAGCTCGGTATTTATCAAAGTTGGTTGGAACAATAACTAAGCTGGGGCAGAGTTTCTTTGCAATGAAGCCAGGCATGGCAGCTCGGACCCCATACTTCCTGGCATGGTAGTTAGATGTTGACTGAAAAGGAAAGGGTGAGATCTAAATAAAACACTTTACTAACAGAGGCATTCTGGATTTCAGATACAAAACTCTTGTTTGAACACTAAATTTATTTTGAATGCATCCATATAATGTTGGAACTGGTTTAAATATCCGCGATTTCTAATAGTACAGCAATGTACTGTGAAATGAATTTGTAATTTCAAGTGTTTGTCAATATATATTATTTGCAAAAGTATAAAGACTTATTCCAACACTGTAATTTAAGAAACTGTAGTATTGCTGCATTATACTATGAGAATCATGGTTAAGACAATCCCAATAATGTGCTATGTAATGAATAGTTTAAACATACTACTTCTACCCTGGTTTGCTTGTGTCTAAATGTTATGTATCTTTCATGTACAGTATAGTACAGTAGCATTAATTATCTAAGACATTACTTTCATAACTGCTCACCAGCATGCTCATGGATCCTACAGCCATGGGTTTGTCCTTCAGCTCAGGACAGTCTCTCATCTCCACAGCAGCGTAGAAAGCATCCATGTCCACATGTACGATCACACGGCTTAGATCACGACTTCTCTCCAGCTCAGCGGTCATCCTCTCCACCTGTAAGGAGAGATTGGAGCGCTTAAGTAGAATGATATTTGGATATGTAGCTTTTTTTATTTAATAGTATGTTTGTCTGCATGTGCGTTTTTGTTAGTGACCTAAAAAAAAAAAAAGAAACCAACGGCAGTTCCATCCATAGCATGTCTTACCTGAGCTTGTGCTTTCTTTAACTGTTGGTCAGTGATCTGTGCCTTTTGTAACATCATTTTCTCAATTCGCTGGTTCACCTGCTGCTCTCTCTTCAGCTCATTCTCATAAAACCTAGACCCCTGCAGGGAAAAGACAGGGATACTAAAGATTTTAGAAGTTACAGATTCTGTACCAAGGCTATAATGAAAAATCTATCTATTTTTAGGACTTTTCGTGTCATTGCACTGGGGATGTGAGCCTTTTCACACGAGGCTGGACACAGTGGATCTTACATTTCATATAGTCCACCACACACTATAGATCTTTAAGATTATTTTGACACAGGAGAGAACATGTGGCAGATGACTGCAGTGAGTATTAATGGTGTCTCATACAGGACTAATTATTTGAGTTGTAGTATCTACCTTGGATGACTCCATGATGATCTTGTTGATCTTGTCCCTGTCAACACCCTCCATACCAGCCTTGTTGTCATTGAGGGCCATTCTGGAGAGGAAGCCCTCTGCTTTAGTGGATGCAGCCTCATTCTCCATCCTGAAGAACGGATCGGAGAACCGTCGTTTGTTGTTGTTGTTGTTGTTGTTTTTTGGCAGTAAAGTCCAATTTATGACGACCTCCACTCTTTTAAAGTTTGTTAATAAACCTGCAACATGTCGTCGCTATGTCTCCCATTATGTGTGCGTCTCTTCAAGCTAGATAAACGCACAGGAACAGTGACACTGAATCAAACCCTGCTCAGCTGTCTAACGCTCAGACATGTTTTGAAAACAGTGACGACGATGACGGTTTTGGCGGCACTTCCGCATACATGCGTCATCGCCGGAATGGGCGGGACTAAATTGCCTCTTTAAATAAATAAATACAATAAAGGAGATTTTAAATATAAATTACTGAATAGGTATTTGCGATCACATTGCACCAAAAATCTTTAATGGATTATTTTTTTTATCCCCTGTCAAATACGCCAAATCTAATAGAATAAANNTATTATAATTAACTAAAATAAAAATTAATTAATTAATTATAATAAAAATAGACAGGAAATGTCTTTAATTTTTATCTTTCTCAGTTTGGTCAGGAGGAGTCATTGGTGGATAATATGAGAGTGGGATGTCTACATGACTGTGAGTCAATGTGTTTGTGTTGTAAATTATTATTATATATACTGTCAATGATTGTAATACCTAATCTAAACTAAATCTTGAAAGCTATTAAGTTTAGATAGAAAAACAGGAAACTGTATGACAGCAGCCCCACGTGGTAATAAAGTCACAGCATATGTTTATTATTACAATTACCTTATTTTACACAACTTAAAAAGTTATATTTGTAGTTTAAAAAAAACTAGATACTATAATAAGTGTCATGTAAAGCTGAATATGATGATATTATTATTATTATTATGAAGTATATATTATATATTTATTTTATTTGACCCTCACGATGAACCTGAGAAACCTCCTTTTATATTTTATGCTGTAATAATATGTGGTATTGCCTCATATGAAGTGGACGGCGGCGTTATTGTGTCTAAAGTACACGATATATAGAAAGTAGTCTACAGAAGAAGATTAAGAGACAAAGGTAATTTTGAAAGTAACCTTTGTCCTAGTTTGAAGCATGTATATCTAGGATTTACATCAGCTACACAATCAGATAATACTAAAGAACATCTCAAAGAATAAAACTCGTTGATAAATTCCCTCAGTAAACAGAATGGATAAAAATTTGTTTTAACCCAAAAAACACCTTTATTGCAATGCAGCCCTTTTTGTGTCAATGCAAAATCCCGAGCAGGGTTCGCCAAAATAAAACTCTTCTTTCCGTTCGGTATTTTTAAACGGAGTGTGCTTTAAACCCGTGTGCAGTGCAGACCCCACATTTCTAGATACAAAATATATTCAAGGGACGGAATCACAAAACCACCCCCCCACTATCCCTTTGCTACGACTGCAATCTCTATCTATCTCAGTCATCATATTATATACACATATTATTATTATATTATTATAAATATTATTAATATTATCATTATATACTGTTATTATTATATACTGTTATTAACAATAACACTACCATCATGTCATCAGTACTATTACCACCATCTTGCAACTACAACTCTTTGCACCTTACCTTCCTATTTATCTTTTTTATCTTTCCTATCTAAGTATTTTATTCTATTGTTGTATTTTATTCTATTGTATTTTAATGTACCTGGCTGCTATGACGACCCAATTTCTTCAAAGTCTATCTATCTATCTATCTATCTATCTATCTATCTATCTATATTATATTATTATTATTATTATTATATATTATATACTGTGCAACCTTTTGCCCATGTGCAACTGCTGCTAGTATTTGTGTTATTGTGTTATCTGTTGTGGTTTTTTACTGTTTTTCTCTGTACAGGTATATATATTATATTATTATTTATATTTCATACTGTTCTTTTACTGTCTTATACTTTTTCCTATCCACTTTGCCTGCTGATAAGATTGCGAATTTCCCCATTGTGGGACAATAGAAAGGTATCTTATATGATTTTCTTCCCTTTTAAATTGATTTTATTTTGAAAGCAAACGTGTACGGCTTCCGGTGCCGCCGTTACTGCGTTAACTTGACGCCGCTCTCTATAAGATACAGTACAGCCGACCTGAATGAAGACGAGCTAGTCGTCAGTCCGCCGCTACCGCTAACTAAACTGCGGAACTACAGCAGTGATACAGCCCGGTGCTCGTCATTTGTAGCTTGAAGTTGGGGGTACAGCGTTTACACGAAGGCCTCTTTATCGATCAGTCGCTGCTGAGTAGCTTGTTGGCTGCAGCTAAGGCAGATAACCGGACCACTCACCAAGTTTCTTCGGTAGTTGCGTCGTTTGACGGCTAACGCTAACTAGCTAGTCTCATTGGTATTCGACGTCAGTTTCAAAACAAAGCCCGCACAAAAACCGAGAAGTTGAGACTCAGCTGTCACCTCCAGAGTAGCTTGCTGCAAGACGAGCTAGCCAGGTTTTACGTCTGTCAGCCGAGCGAAGATAAAGTCCGCCGTTCAGCTGATGTTTAATAAACCCAGTTAATGTCTAATTAACGTTATTTCGCTGAGGTTGAAGCTAAGTTAGAGAAGCTGTCAGCAGGTTTGAACTGATCCAGTCCGGCAGCTAAGCGTTAAGATACTGTCGATACAATTTTTAAGTTCAAGTTTTGTTTTTTTTTTCTGCTGAAGCTTGGATTTTAAATGTCCGAAAAGAGTTCATCGTCCGGTTCGGATGAGGATGTGGACCCGGAATCCGGACAGCCTGTGGAGCTCGGAGGCGTTTTAAGCAAGGTAAAGTAAACCAAGGGAGACTGTCACAAATGTTTCATCCTGCACATATTACTTCTATCATTGCACACTACTGGTTTAAAAAGCCATGTGAACTTGAGTAACGAGCTGTAAAAGTTAAATCAACCACTGCGTACACATCGTTTTAGGCAAAGGGTGCAGCTGACCGATTGTTTTGTACCTCTCGTGTGTTTACAGTGGACTAATTACATCCACGGATGGCAGGATCGATGGGTCGTGTTGAAAAACAATACTCTGAGCTACTACAAGTCGGAGGATGAACGGGAATACGGCTGCAGGGGGTCTCTGTGCCTCAGCAAGGCTGTTATCACAGTAAGTATTTACCATGGTACGAGGAAGGAACATCACTCTGCTGCTGTCCTTGTCTGTTGCATTAATAAGCACCGGGAGCTGAGCACCTGTTCAGTATTTCAGGGAGTAACCATGAAAGGCCTAATTTTCTGCATCAGTGCTCTGGGTCTAGAGTTACCTCTGGCGCAGGTTTCAATGTTTTGATCCCGTCTTTCCCTGTCATTAGCATGGAGTTGAACTTTAATTCCTTCAATCCACGGTCCTCAAGGATACGGAGGTAAACATTAACTAGTAATGAGGCTGTTATTAAGATTACAGGTAAGGCGGTGGTCTGTATTTTAGCAGACCTATACATTCTTGCTCCAGGAGTCATTCGAGAAAACTCTCATACATCTCCGACTGTTGTTAGTTATTGCGCAGGCGATTTAAAATTCCTGTTCCCTACAGCAGTGTAAGCTTTGACCACATACTGTAGAAACGGGACCTGTATTATTCTCCCTATGCAGGCCTCCTGTTGGTAAGATAAGCGGAAATCCCACACCCTGGTTAAATATTCACTGTTCTCTCTGAGCATACCGCCACCAAGTACAGAGGCCAAACAAATGGTTTCACTGTGATTTGTTCAATCGGATTATATGACTCAAAACAGGATTAAAACCACAACATGACAGGTTACGGTTAGTTTCCACTTTTGAGAGTGGTCATTTGTGTGAGCATTACGCCAATTCCTGTGTTTGTACAGACCTGAATGGAACTCCACAAGACATTCAGTGTGTTTTGTAATTGTGTTATATTAGGGTAAGTAAGAGTGTGCACAGTTTTATTACACATGCTCTCACTAATAATGAATGTAGTATGACCCACACTGTCTCTTCTTACTGCCTCTCCCTTCTTCTGGAATATCTATAAGTCCAGTGCTTCCTAAGGAGACTGAGCACTGAGGAATGCAGCTACGACGAGTCTCTGCTCTCCTTGTCTAACATCGGTCTGTTACACACCAGACTGTCCTCAGACGGAAGCAAAATGTGCAGGAAATGTTACTGTGTGAAAATTCCTATCGTAGGCCCAGGTCCATTATCAAAAGCTCACATCAGTTCAAGCTTTTGTCTTTACGTTCGTGTGTTCCTGTCAGTTGTATACAGTTCTGTGCGGAGCCGATTCATTTAAATAATATTAAACATATTTATTGTTTTAATTAAAATACAAACATGCATGCGCACACGCTAGTTTAAAGATGGAGAAGAAGTCTTAGATGTCTTTTCTGAGAACTATCAGTGTTCGACTGATAACCTCTTCTTTCCTAACACTGAAGATGCCACAGTCCAATACACAGAAAAAAGCCAGTGCAGCATGGATGTTCAGTAGTGCTTACGTAAGGGGAAGGAGATTGTTCCAGGCAGAATGAAAGAGGTATAAACTGGATTGTAAAGCAGAGGTTTATGGGCCGTGTCTGATACAGCACAGTAAGATAGACTGGATTTCTCTAACCAGTAATGGCAACATGGCTGGATGCACCAGGGGTTACAATTGCATGACCCTTCTTATTGTGGACTTCTGAAACTGGAGGGCATTTCACCTGTTTCTGAGAGGAAACCTTTGCCCTGAGGTTGTTGGTGACTGTAATAGAATAGGCTCAGAGAAAACCTCACACCTGTCAGCATCCCGTATATGCAACCCGTAATACTAGTGTTAACTTTTAAAGGCAATGTTGCATAAAGTAACGCACAGTTGGTGTTCAGAGTCGGAGTGTATGTCGCTGTTGTCAGTGGCAGCAAATAAACCAGCACATGAGCGTCATTCAGCAAATCTAATTAAACTTGGGCAACATGAGGTTATGTCAGCTGATAGAGCAGCTGTAGACTTGGTTGCTGCCACTGAGGAGAAAAACGGAGAGGAGATTCAAGTCGACTGTGTCTCATTTCTTATTAGGAACATTTGCAGAGCAGATCTCTGAGCTGAATGCCGTGGTCAAATTCCAATCTCAGAGGAAACAGAATTCTTTGGTGCACGTGTTTGGGTGCCTAAGGCTGTTAGTGGTTGGAGCTGGGTGGGGTGCATTGTAGAACGGGGGAGTGAAATAGTTGAAAGGTCTGGCCCAATAGTAGAAGGAAAAGTTATGATGACCCAGG